TCATGTATTGTTCAACTAATCGTGATCTTTGTTCCTTAATCTTGTTCACCCCTGCAGACATTCCAATGGCAGCGCCGATGATCATCACGACGAGGGCGATGACCAGCCTGACGATGCTGGCAGCTTAAGCAGGTCAGGTTCTGAGGATAATGTGGCGCAAATACAAAATGGGCATAATAATAACAATAACGGGTACACTCATAAGTCTACGTTCAATGTTTATACATATATATATCTCACCCACAACACATTACATACATTATCGTAGCATTTATAATTTGGCGTCCCATTTCTGAACATTGCTCATTGCACTTCTTGGTTTCGGTTTCGATCCCTTTCCCTCTTTTCGGTTTATCATTTTACAAGAAATAACAACCAGAAAGAGCCCACAAAAATGTGCCACAATATGCCGCAGCCAAACAAAATTTTAATACGAATTTGCTTTGTTTTCTAATTTGTAGTTCAAAATGATTGATTTTTGTTTTTAATTTCGATTATTGATTGCTTTACACCGAACATTACAACACTTAATAATGTGTAAATTGCAACTTCTTCAAATATTTCGTTTCATTTTGCCTTTTCCATGGTGAAATCCAGCAGTTCGGCAAGTCCCGAGAGTGGCCTGGGCACGTCGCACACATCTCTGCCCGGCTCTGGACAGGGAAGCGCCAACGAGAATGCCATCGGCGAAGATGCCTACTTTGAGACGGAAGTGGAACCACTGCAGCCACTGGGCACTTGTCGAGCCCTGTATCCCTTTGAAGGTGAGTAATGATTGACGCATTGATTGGCACACTAATCATCATTTTTGTTTCTCTTTTTTAACAGCCTCCAGCGAAGGAAGTATACCCATGAACGAGGGCGAAGAACTGCAGGTGATTGAGATCGATCAGGGTGATGGCTGGACGCGAGTGCGGCGTGCTAACGATTCCAATGGCTGGGACGAGGGCTTTGTGCCCACGAGTTACATCGAGTGCACGCTCTACGCTTAGGCTTAAGAACTTATGGGCGGGCAATCAGCCAGCCAGGCGGTTTTAAATGTTAACTACTCAGCAAAACATTTGCATATGTTCCATTCATTTTGTGTACTTTTGTCATAACTTTGCGTTCTGTCAGACAGCCATAACACAACCCAACACATACACACTCACGCACACTGCGCACAACCATGTACATTTTGACTTAAGCTAAGTTCGACTCCCATTAATTCTCGTTTGCTTTGTATATTTACTTTGATTTTGAAAGGATTTTGATGGTAGCTGGATGACAAGCTATATCATAACTATACCATACTATCTATGGTCATATGCAGACGAGCAGACCTCACCTAATTGTAAGCACCGCAACGTAACGTTTCCCTCTTCACTGCAACAATCATGACTACACCTATTTATATACATATACGAAATCAGATTTATATGGCACTTGAATATGTGAGAGCATGAAAAACCAAAATTGAAACTAGAAAACGCGTAAATAGGATTGTGAACGTGTTTCAATGTGGAAATGTGTTCATGATGCATTATTTTCATTCACGGCCTTGGCTACGGAAGCATCTGCCGCTCTTCGCACTGACCAAGAAGAGGGGCAGAGTGCGTGTCTGTCGAATTGTAGCACTAAAACTTTGGTAAATATGCAAAGATCAGAATAGGATATGAAGAGAGAAGAGAACATCGAACATACCGAAACAACACCCATTCATACACACACACACACAGAACATACACATACGCAACTCAAGGATAGGTAAAGCAAGAGTTATGGCAATCCTGCATGACATGCGGCATATGCAATGCGAGGGCGAAGAACGCGCTAGCTTGTTTATATAAATAGCAACAATTGTACATTTTACTTTTACACACTCTATGGATAAAGCCTAATTTTAGTTTGATGATAACTTTGTATTGCCTAATTTTAGTTTGAAGATAACTTGTATTGCTCTTTGCCTTGTACATTTTCACACATTATGCTTAATCCTATGCGCATCGAGGGAAGCGAGAGCGAGAACCAGATTGATTTGAATAATGCAGCAAGTAGTTATGTTTTAGGGACTCCTAGACGTTTAAGTTCAAAACATTTATGGCTTAAGTCAAAAGCAAAGCCGGGCGGCGCTGCATTTGTTATGTTCAACGCCACTTTGCAATACATTTATTTATAATTTACAACAAACAAAAATACTACCGTCTAATGGTACACCACAATCAAAAACAAAAACATAAAACATAAACAGGCCGACCAGGCAGAGTGAATTAGATTTTTAGTTAGGTATTCAACAGCCTTTCCCATGTGTATTTTCTACTTTCATTTCGCATAGATATAAGTGTGCATACACCACTGAAACTGATGAATTGTGTTCCAAGCAATTCCAAAATTCTTAAATTTATCTAATTATAAATTCGAACCGAAACAGGCACATACGTATTGCGTGAAAATTATAATGAATATTGAGTTTAAGTGACAAGATACGGTATATCTATGTGAGAATTGTCATCGTAATAAAAATAACTCAAATAAATGGTGTACTTTTTTTACATTCTCAATTATAATTAACCAAAGCTGCAATATTCATGCAATGCCCTTACGAAATGGCTTAAAAATGGAACATCCTTGCAGTCCTGGACGGCCTTGGCGGATTCAAGCGATACAGGAGACTCTAGCGCCCACGAGGACACGTAGCACGTCTGGATCGGCTGAGAAATGGCGGAATTATAGATTTTATACTCTTAGTCCTTAATGTCCTTGATACCAAACTTATTGTAAGCAGTCAGGAATGATGTCCTGATTACGAAAAGTTGTAAAAGGTCCTGATCGGACTAGAAATGGCTTTGAATAGCATTAAATGGCAATAAAATAAAGACAGACATATATATAAAAAGTGGGAATACTTTTGGGGGCACATGATGCTTAACTTTTTTAAAAAGGCTAGCATACTTTTGGGTTGCACGTTTCAGGATTTACAAAATAGCTTACAACCTTTATATCCTGCAGTCCTGCATGTCCTTAATAGATTGAAACGATAGAGGAGACTCTTCCGATCACGAGGACATATATAACGTACTGGTCGGATGTGAAATGGCCATATTATAAAAATTATATCCTTAATCCTTGATGTCCTTGATGCCAAAATGATGCAAAAGGATCAGGATAGTTGTCCTGATCACGAAAAGTTGTGGCATGTCCTGATCAGACTACAAATGGCCAAGATGTAGAACAATTACATTTTGAGATTTAAAAAAAACCGGCCAGTTTCATAGCAGCCAGCTCTTGATAGGATGAAGAAACATAAAAACCAGCAACCTGCTGCTGATTTATGTTCGCCTAGTACTCGGTCCGAAAATTTCCATTTGAGCGATGCAATTTCAACAGTTGTTGAAGGCAAAAACCAGTGGAGCCCCCTCGATCATGACGGCCACGGCTGGAACTAAAAAATCATAGTTCCAGAATTTCCCGCTAACTATTAGGGGCGCCACTGTTCTAGTTGTTTAATTGTTTGTTGTACAACAAACAACTGTGGAAAGAAAAACCAGTGGCGCCCCCTCGATCATGACGGCCACGGCTGGAACTAAAATATCGTAGTTCCAGAACGTCCCGCTAACTATTAGGGGCGCCACTGTTCTAGTTGTTTAATGGTTGTTGTACAACTGTGGAAATTTCTTAGCTTAAGTGGCAATTTTCGGACCGAGTACTAGGCGAACATAAATCAGCAGCAGGTTGCTGGTTTTTATGTTTCTTCATCCTATCAAGAGCTGGCTGCCATGAAACTGGACGGTTTTTTTTAAATCTCAAAATGTAATTGTTCTACATCTTGACCATTTGTTGTCTTTAAGTTAAGCATCCTATGCCCCCAAAAGTATGCCCACTTGTTATATATATTTCTGTCTCTATTTTATTGCCATTTAATGCTATTCAAAGCCATTTCTCATCCGATCCAGACGTGCTACGTGTCATCGTGGGAGCTAGAGACTCCTGTATCGTTTGAATCCACCAAGGACCTCAAGGACTTCGAGGATATTCAATTAAGAAGCTACCCTAACCCCGAAAGAATGCCATTGTATAAATAAAAGACAAAAGGATGTTTTATTAAGCATTTTATTTGGTTATTCGTACGCGTGTGGTTTACAATACAATAATGTTTTTTTGTTGTAATATTTCTTGTATGTTTTTAACACAAATATTATATTATTTATATCCCATTACAGTGTTTATGCTAAAACGTTGAAATTCTTTCAGTAAGTAGGTATTTTGACGAATACACGCAAGAAGTGCATTACGAAAATTAGCGATACACGTCCTGGGCTGCTTTAAGGTGTAGGTAGGTTCAAGTGAATAATCTCCATACTGTATTGTTCGTACATGTGGTTTAAATTTTATCTATGTATGTATGGGTTCTCAAATTGTATATTTATGTATATGTCAATGTTAAAATATGCAAGCGTAAAAAGTTGCTTGGTTCTTGTAAAAAAATGAGACTTTAAAAGCATTTCACTTTCCAGGCTTTGACTACTATTTCATTACGTCCCCGTTTACACATGCGCTTGTATAATTGCTTAAATTAAACTACAATAATAAGCGATTCAATTAATAATATCCTTCGTACATATACATAGATAATAACTACATCAAAATTAAAAGCAAGGGTGTATGTGTATTCCATTACGATGCTGCAGCACAAAGCATTCGCTTCTATTTAATTTGTAAACATTAAAGCCAATAAGAAAATGCGTTGAACAGCTAGTGCCTGCCATATTTATCATCATCTTCATACTCATATTCATGTTCGCGATTTTATAGTTTTTATAAATATATAAAATATATATATTTGCCTTTAAAAACTCGGGTATGCAGTTCAATATCATTAAAAATGTGGGTTGTGTGGGTGAAAATGTCTGAAATTGTCTAGTTAATTATTCTGCTTTACGCTTTATGTTATTCGGTCTTCGGTCTGCGGTCTTCGATTTGAAATCGGTGATGTTCAGAGCTGGTGAAGATGTTACTGCTGGCTATCCTTCCAGGGAGTACTTCATCGGTATTTCCTCTAGAAGTGCACCTTGTCTGTAAGATCAGAAGGAGAAGTATACAGATTAATATCTCAAGTGCTGTCTTTGGGTGGGGCGGCGAGTATTACTTTTCTCTTTCAAAGTTGAGCTCTGCTTGTAGATCAAAGACCAAGGAAAGACACAAATCAAAAGGAAATCAAAGAACACAAAGAGCCGCGAAGCCTGGCCTCGCCTCTGGATGCTTACCTAGCCAAATATTCTATGTCTCTGTTCAAGCCCCATTTTCATATACGTCTAGGTATGTACGAGTACTCTCTCTCTCTCTCCCATCCTGCGCCAGTGGCCTTACTGGCCCTGCTGCTGCTTCTTCACTTGGTCGCCCTCATCCTCGACCACCGTGGACTCGTCGTGAGACCAGAAACTAGCAGACATTTGCGACGACGACATGCCACCCACACCAGGGAACGAGTCCTCCATCAGCGTGCTGGAGGCACAGCTCGTGATGCTGCCGGACATTTGAGAGTTGCCCGCGCTGGTCTGATACGTCGCCGTGGTGCCAGCCGAGCTGGTTGTCTGCTCCACGCACAGGTTCAGGGAGTCGATGGACACGTCCTTCGACATGCCGCTCTCATCCAGAGGCAGTTCCTGTACTCCGCCGCCGCCTACAGTCGTTGTGGTTATCACCCGCGTCACGGTGTGCTCATGCCCATCGGCATCAGTGCTGGTAGTGGTGGTTGTAGTGGTGGTCGTGAGACCATCTCCCAGTGTGACTCCTCCGCCGCTGACAAACTTGGTCATGAGATCCAGTTGCTCGTCCCCGAACGACTCGATGCTCTCCTGGCGCGAGTGGCGTTTATCGATCTCCAGGGAATCAATGTCGGATCGCGTCGTGGCATCCTTTGAGATGTCGAAGCTCTCGATGCTGCTGGTCATCATGTCGTGGCTCTTGCTGATCTCCATGCTATCAATGCTGTCCTTTTCGGAGTCCTGGCTATCGATCTTAGACTTGGCATCCAGTTCCGTGCCGCTTGCCGGTGCCGGCTTGCTGTCACCCTCCTCCCGCTCCCGCTCCGGCTCCCTCTCCCGCTCCAGCTTCTGCTTCAGCAGGGCTTCAATGTTCTCCGCTTGGCCCGAGGGCACCACCTCGGTGCGGGTTACTGTGCGGGTCACCTTGGTTACCACCATGTTGCCAGCGGCTCCTTTGTCGCTGCCGTTCGACTTGTTGGACTCGTCGGAGCGCGAGAGCAGCGCCGCCTCCTCCCTGGCCTTGATCTCAGTGAGATGGGCTTCGATGCAGGCATTCTCCAGACCCTCGAACTCCTTCAGACTGGATATGGAGACATCGTCGCCGGGCGCAGTTCCACTTCCACTGTGTCGGACCACGTAGCGACGTGTGAAGCTGCCGTTGCTCGAGTCCGTGGAGCCCTGGTGGGTGCGGTTGCGATTCTCCAACGAAATGGCCTGCTCCAGGGACTCGAACTCCTGCAGACTGCTCATGGACACATCGTCGTGCTCGCCGCGGGAGTGGTACCGTCGCGCGGCCATCACATCGTACTCTGGTGTGCTCGAGAAGGAGTCCTTGAAGCTGCTGATGCGACTGCTGCCGACCTCGAACTCCCCATCCTCCTCCTTGATGTCCTCCAGCACGGCGCCAGTGAGGTCGTAGGGATAACGCAGCTGGTTGTCCGTCAGCTGCATCTCCACCCACCGCTTGTTGGCTGCCGCCGTGTCGCTGGAGTCGCTCTCCTCCTGCTGATCGCTGCTGCTGCTGGCGCCAGTGGGCGGACTCTCCTCAAACTCAAAGTTCAGATCATCCTTGTACAGCTGGGAGCCCAGCTTGGGGTCCGCTGGCGCTGACTTGATGATGATCTTCTCAACGTCAGAGTCGTGCTTCTGCTCGTACTTAATCGGAGCTATCTTGATGCTCTTGCCGCCGAGATCCACTTCGTTGGCCTCCTTGGCCACCTCCTCAATGATGACGAACTCGTCCGATATGTCCGGTTGCTCGACCATTTCAAAGGAGTCTGGCGAATCGGGTGCCTTGTGATCATCGTACTCCGCCCCGACTTCCGCACGCTTTAGCTCCTCCAGCTTCTGCCTGTACTGCTCCTGGACTCGGCGCTGAAAGTCCTGCTCCTTCTCTTCGGCCTTGGCCTTCTCGTACACAGAAGTATCGCTGGCCTTGTGCAGCTCCTCCTCGGTGCGCACTTTGTATAGCGACTTCCCGGGGAAGTCGTCGGTTTCCTCCTCCAAAATCGGTGACTTTACATCCTCCGTTACCATGATGTCGGGTATTTTCGAGTAGTCCTGCATATTCTGGGAGGGACGACGCTCCTCGATCATGGCTGCCTCGGCCTCCAACTCTTCGGTCGCGTCCTCCACAATGATCTCTGCCACCAGCTGGGACGGCGTGAACGGACGCTTCTCCAGCTCCGAACTGTGGTCCATCTCGGCAGCTGCCTGCTTCTTTTTCTTGCTCTTGCGCTCCTTGGGCGAGCGGAATTGGCGCGCATACTCCGACTCGTAGGGATCTGTGTCCGACTCACTCTCCGACTCCTTGCCCTCGCCCAGCAGGGCCACCTCCTTGTCCAGGTTCTTCAATGCATCGCCAGAGATGCTCTCGTTGCGCTTGTGGCCTCTCCGCTTCGACTCTCCGCCCGGTGGCGTACTGGCATTCGAGTCCTGTGGGGAGTGCTCCTTGCTCTCCATCTCCAGCACGAATGTGGCATCCTCCGGCACGGAGGCAGAGGTCATTGGATCGTCGTGTCCATACTGGAAGCCCTCGATGCCGGTGAGCGAGGACGAGCCTGCCGATCCGACAATGTCATCAAAGTTCTCCACAACGGTGTCAATGTTGGACGTGCTGGACATGCTGACCGACAGAATGCTGCCCTCGTCCAGGCTGGAGGCCAGCTTGGAGTCGTCAATGGATCGCCTGGGATCGCCGTGATACAGCAAAATGTCCTCGGCCCTCTCGCTCTCACGGGGACTGTCGGCCTTGCTGTCGTCCATTGGATAGGCCAGGCCCCAGGTGCGTTCGGCCTCTTTGGGCTTGGGATACTCTTCGATTTGGATTGCATCGATGGCCGGCTGCTCATCCGTCTCTGTCTTGGGCTTGAAAATCATCTCCTGCGAACGCTTCATCAAGCTCTGCTGCTCGTTCGTGGGATACGAGGAGCCTGGCAGTTCCACGCTCTCATCGCTGTCATCATCATCGGCACGCAGGTCGCGCAGGCGGGACATTTCCTCCGACTCGAAGGGATCTGCCTCCGCCGAGGAGGCCACCAGTGTCTCCGATAACTCGGACACATCGATGCTGGCCAGATTGGCTGAAGTCTCTGACTGAGAGTCGAAGCTGCGCATGCTCTCGTGGGAGCTAATGGTCTGGCCACTGCTGCTGTTCAGAGTGCTCACGGCGCTCACGTACTCTGTGGCCTCGCGGCAGGTGGAGTCTCGGGCTGTCTGGTATTCGCTGGAGGTGCCTGTGCCAGTGGCCGTCAGCAGGATGTCCATGTCAGAGGACAGAGGTCGACTCTGGGTTTTGTCGAAGCTTTTGTGGTAGCTCTCGCTGGAGCTGGAATTGTCCACGTCAGGTATGGACCAGCGGTTGGTGGAGTCCGGCGATGACTCGGTCTTCAGCCGATGAACCACCACATCGATCGGCCTGATGGAGTGGTCCGATGTCACCTCCTCGAAGCTGCTGGTGGTGATGGACTTGTCGGCAGCAATCTCCTCTGCCACCAAGCTGGCAGTGGCCAACTTTTCCGTGTAGTAGTCCTCCATGGAACTAAAGTCCTCTGCTGTCTCTGTGGATATAAACCCAAGGGAGGCCTGCTCTTCCTTTGCCAAATGCTCCTCCATCGAGCTGAGTTCTTCGGCTGTGCCAGTGGACACGAATCCTAGGGATCCGTGATCGTCACGACGCCCGAACACATCTTGAGCATAGTGCGCCATGGCCGCCTGCTTGTTCAGGGTCTCCCTGATGGTGGTATCAAAGAGGCCCTCGGGGGGCTGTGTGCTGTCCAATGTTGACGTTTGCATGTCGGGAATGCCGATAAAGGACGATATATCATCGCTCTCCGCACCGGTGGCAAAGGCGTGGGGCATTGTCTCGAACTCATAACCAGCTGGGGATACTTCTTCGATGTATTTTGCATCACTTTTCTGCTCGCTCTTTGCTAAATCTAGCGAGTCCTGTGGCTCGAGAATGGCTTCATCAACGATGTCTGTTCCGCTGGTGACTTGTGGCTGCTGCGGCGAGTGCACCACCTTTGGCTTGCCCGCACTGGGAATCTCCTTCTCGGATATCTCCCACTCGCTCTTCTCCAGCGGCAGCTCAAACCGCTCTGTGCAGGAAATTGTGTTTACTATTTCGGGAATCTCCTTGCCGGACTCATCGGGATCTTCGCTGCTCGAGGGCGCTACCTCTATGATGGCGCGACCACTGGAGCCGGTGGAGGTGGTCAGACTCTCCTCTGTGGTCACCTTGGTGAGAATTGGTTCGCCAGCCTTCTCCTTCTCGGCATTCTCAAACTCTAAAATATCGTTTCGGGTCTCGGAACCCTGCCGCACTATCTTGCTGCCATCCACGGCCTCAGCATCGTCACGCTTCATCGTAACGTACTCCTTGAACACATCATTGGTCTCGTCCGAGTCCACAGACACCTCCTTCATCAGCGATATATCCTTGGCATCGATGCCAATGTCCGTGGCGGCCTCTTCTTCCTGCGGTGTGGCACCCGCTGACTTCGTTGAGGTCTTGATGATGACATTCCGACTCGATTCGCCTATGTAGAAGCTGGTGGTCTTCTCGGCACCCTCCGACTTCTCGGTATCAGCATCGTCCACTGATATCTCGCTCGTCGGCTCGAAGCTCTCCGTGTGATCCTCCGAGGCAGTGGTGGTGGCAGTTGTGGTTGTGATCACATCACGCAGCTGGGAACGCATGGACAGCTCCGTGGAGGGTTCGTCCGTCTTGGAGATGTCCTCCGTGAACTCGAAGCTTCGCAGGCTAATGCTGTCCGACTGTTCGGCCAGGGCAGCCAGATTCTCAAACGGTTCCGTGTGCTTGATGGGAGCGCGGGGCTTCGGCACAGGTGCGGCGGCATCAAAACTTAGATCGATTGGCAGATCGAACTTTTGCACTTGACTGGGGATGCTGTCGATGCCTTCGGAGACTGGAGAGCTGGCTTTGAGTACTCGTGGCTTTGGTGTGGGTGTGTCGTGGCTGGTGGTAGTGGATTGTATTGTATTGGTTTCTACCGCCGGCTCATCTGCTGTTTCTTTGTCTGTTACTGTGGCTGCCACAACGGCCGACGGTGGTACGGGAGTGGTTTCACTTGAGACTGGTAAATCGCCGCCTGTTTCTACAAAACAATAGGTGTGAAAACGAAAGCAGTTTTAAAAGTGTTGTGAAAGTCGAGAACAAAAGATGAGCACAAAGAGAGTAAACACAATCATACGAGATTATAGAAGATATGAAAGAGGAAACAGGAACAGAACAGTACGAGCGAGTATGGGTACGAGTGATCGGTTAGGCATACGAGTTACGAGTAGATAGAATGATTTAGAGATAGATAAGTTCATAGAGATGGCAGAGATTAGAGATTAGAGTGAAGATAGATGGTGATTGATTTTACATGCATATTTAGTAATGAAGTTAATATGAGTACAAACTAAACCAACAACTGAATAGGATAAATGCAATTAGAGCTCAACTTGAACACAAAAGTCATTATTGGCCGCCACTTCTAGAGGTAGATACACACACACACACACACATACATATGCTTGCTGTCTGTACGCCTCTCTACGAATCAGCAATGGATCAGCAATATACTAAATATACTATCTATATGTATGTACAATATGAAAGCATTTGATTAGTCGCTTATGATACCTGCGGTTAGCTCTTGTATGTCATTGTCGGGTGTTATCTGGCTCAGGGCCATATCGGCCATTGTGTTTGTCGTGGGCGACACGCTGTCGTCCCAGCTGAGCTTCGAAAAGTCAGCCTGCAGGGCACTGATCTCATCCTCGTGCACAGCCGACTCGAAGGCCTCATCGAACTTTGCACTAACATCGTCCATGTCAGTGGATAGCTTCTCGATCTTGCGCTCAATGCGTCTCGTGCGGGTCTCGGATGCTTCTGCGACTTGATCTTGACTAGGGACTACAGGTACTGATACTGTTTCAGTTACTGGCATTGTTTCGTTTACAGGTTCTGGTACATGACAAACGGGAATGGGAGCAAATAAATACGGGAGAACGGTTATAGCCAACGGACTAAGCAACACAATGGATTATATAGTGTTTCGCCTAGTTCCAGCAACGATCCTATATCTTCTAGTGTTCTATCGTAAGACTAGCGCAAAGCTTCAAGACTCTACTACACTGGGATAAGCATTGTATGTTACCTTTTGCCGTTGATGAGGTTGTGGCGGCAGCAGCAGCTTGGGACTGCGACTGCGACTGCGACTGTTGCTGTTGTTGGTACTGAGTGGTTACTGTGGTGGTCGTGGTCGTGGCGGTTATGTTTTGGACATGCAAGGGTAAATGTATGTGCTCGTCGGTGAAGCTCATGTTATCGTCGAATGACTTGCCCGACATGGACTCGATTGTGGGCGATTTGATGACATCAACGCCATCAATGTCGTCGCATGTGATGGCATAGTTTTCACTCTCCGAATTGTACTCCTGCTTAACGAACTCGTGGCCATTGGCCTGATGCTGCTGGTCAATGCCGTGACTCTCAATGATCTCAACGCTCTCTTCGAGCACGCTATCCACCAGAATGATGGCTTCCTCGCGTATGCGTGCCGCAAGATCTGCACCATCACCTTCACCACCACCAACTTTAACATCACCTGCAAGACAATTGCACAGTTTCATTGGTAGATAGGTAGAAATTGGACAGATAGAGAGAGAGAGAGAGAGAGAGAGAGAGAGTTACAGATCGAATGAGATCGAGAAAAGCAAGAAGCAGGGAAATCATGAGAAGCGACTTGATGACGAAGTGGAAGTAAGTGCGGTGTGAGGTGAGAGGTTAAGCGATATACGAGATGGCGGTGAAACGTGAGTCGTGAGATCTTTACGCATTGAGTCGAAGCATTGTTCAATTGTTTGTCTCAATGAGCTTTAATTGCATTTTGTTAAATAATAATATTTAAATTAATCCAATGAAGCGTTATGAAATGTTTGCAAACAACACAAATTACGAGTATTTACTTTTATACAATCAAATAGATAACGAGCTTAGAGCTTTGCTTACCGATTTCCTGTGAGCTCGTTTCGGTATCCAGAATGGATGTGTCAATTAATTTCTCCTGAAGGGTTTCTGCAACAGACAGGACAGCGATTAGACACATTCATCTTTGATGGGTGAGGCAAAAAACACAAAAGTGACCTAAGGGCTACCATTAATTTACGCTACAAACGAAATGATAATGGAATGATTTTACAAACACACAACTGATAAGGCAAGAAGTTCATAAACCAAAGAACGGATTCCAAAGAACGTTTCTGTTAGCATTTGTTGGTTAGACAGTGTTAATGTTAGTTGATCTTTTTGGTTAGTAATACAATAAAAAGTAACAGTTAGTATGGCACGGGGACACAGAGATTTGGGCGTAGGATGGTTGGCAATGCGAGTTGGGAATTGATTTAGTTGCTGCTTATTTGCTGAGTGTGGTGGCGTGGCGATAACTTTTAACGATAAATGTTTGCTATTTGTTGTTGGCTTTACTTACAAAATGCTTGAGTCTGAGTGTACTTTATGTGTGTTGGGTTTGTAGTCAGCAGGAGACTGACTGACTTTCGTATCAATGAACGAACACTTATGAAACTATTGTTGAGAGCACGAAGCAGACACTAGTTGCCTCCTCTGGCGGCGGCTGACTCGTCGGACTCCACATACTCCACGTCGGTGTGGGCATCACGAATCGCGCCTTTTATGTGCAGCCTCTCGGACTCACTGTTGAAGCTGCGGCCACTCTTCTCGTGCACCACGGTGTAGCTCTCATTCAGCATGTCGTTGAGCTCCTTGCTGTCGCTGTTGGCCACTTGAATGACTGGCGGCTCATCGAGCCCGTCCTCGGCCTCCGATGGCAGCTGAACGTCCTCGGTGTCGGTGTTCTGCTGGCTCACCGCATCATTCTTGAGCAGGCGCAAGTGGGCGAGCGGCTGGAGCTTGTTCTTCGATGGTGGTGGTGGATCGGAACCATCGGAAAAATCAGACACATCGTCGGTGGACATATCCTCCCCATCGGTGAGCTTGTCCGAGTGGTTCGAGCCCTTGGCCTGGTGCTTCAGTTGTTCCACGCGCTGCACTCCCGCGGGCAGGCCGCACTCACTCAAGTCCATGTCCTCGACATCGGTGACGCCCTCCTCCTTGGCCTTGGCCACATCCAGCAGCTTGTTCTTGCCTTTGCTCAGGGTGCGTGTCTTCAACTTCTTGCGACGGTTCGTTCCGGCCACAAATATCTCCTCCACATCGGTCACGGACTCGGCGTTTGAGTGGACTTCCAGGCGTTTATTCTGCTGCTGCTTCATCAGCTCATTGGACACGATGACCTCATTCTCGATCAGACCTGGACCGCCGACCGCAGCCTCTTCGGCAACTGAGTGACTCAGGCTCCACTCATCGGCGCACGAGTACTCCTCGGAGTCGGTGTGGACGGCATCTTTGAGGTGATCGTAGATGCCAAACTCGTAGTTGCTGTCCATGGGCATGACATTCGTGATGGTGTCTCCGTTCTTGTCCTCCTTCAGCTCCACGACCTCGCGATGCGGCAGTGGCAAGGCCTCGGGCGCGACTGCCATAGCTTCGGGCACTGTGCCCGTGCTGGCCAGCGAAGAGTCCTCGCACCACATGTCCTCGATGTCGGTGAGGCAGGTGCCATCGTCGCCAGCAGCCAGAATGACGGCACGCGGTATGGGCTGCTCGTCGTCCTCCTCATTGTCAAAGCTATCCTCCGCTGCCGAGTCATCGATGCCCTCAATGTCGGTGAGCACCTCCTCGTGCACGGCTGCTGGCTGGAGGAAGTTCACCTGCCCAGGGCCAGGCATGGGCAATGTGGACTTGGAGTTGCGACGCGGCTGTCCACTGACACTAAAGAAGGCCACATCGATGGGATAGCTGCTTTCACTCACACTCTGACCTCCAGCTGCACCTGGCTCCGATTCGGATTCGCTGCCCGAGCAGGCGATCTGGCAGACCTCCTCGTGGCCGCTGTCAGAGACCTCGAGCATCTCGTCCTCGGACATGCCGCGCACCCCAATGCCAGTGCAGTCGGACATGGCCGAGGCCAAGTCACTAATGTCGCTGATCACGGACACATCCTCGTACTCATCGGAGTCATCCTGGTGCTTCTCGGCGTCGGCTATGTTGACGCGTCCCAGATCGCCCACGGCATGGTCCAGATCCACACAAACGGACTTCTCGCAGCCATAGTCCACCTCGGAGTCGGTGTCGTAGTCTTCGCAGTCGGTCAGATAGTCGGTCAGGCCATTGAGGTTTTGTGCTTGCACGAAGTCCCCGTCTCTGTTTTCGCATCTCTCCTTGCCATCCTGGTCGTGGGCCTCCTGGTTCTGAAGGCCCTGCTGCAGGAACTCGCGCAGCGACATCTTCAGCTCTGGGTAGGCAACGCTCTTCTCCTCGTCCTCCGACTCGGTGTCGTAGTCCTCCACATCAGTCACATCGTTGTCGTATGGGTGGGCCTTTAGCTGTTTTGGCTTGTGGCCAGCACTCGAGGAGCCACGTCGGGAGCCGGGCTTCAGCACCTCCACCTGGCTGTCAAAGTCCTCGACATCGGTGACGCCGCCTGCCCCATTGCGGCCATAGTCCATGTCATTGCTGTCCGAGTCGCGGGATGACGACGATAATGAGGATGCATCGGATCGAGACGAGTGATGATCGGCAGTTACGGATATAGTTGGGAGTTTCTTGGACATTTTGTTGGGTTGTAAGTTAAGGTTTGGGTTAGGTTTTGGTTTCGTTGGTGGGTTTTATTTGGGTTTTGATTTGATTTTGTTGTTTATATTTAGTTGCTTGTTTTTGTGTTTGCTATTTGTGGAGAACAAGTTAAAGTTAGTTTCAGTGAAAGCAGTTCATAAATATGTAGCAAGTATGTATAATGTATGTACGAGTAATATCAATAAGAAAAGTTGCATTCTAGTCGCGGAGTTCTAGGCCCTGAAGTGTGTGATGGGTATCGTAGCTAAGCTAAGTCTTAAGATCAAAGTTTAGGGTGCTCAAAATGCCTAACATCAGGTGCCTGCCCATATTTACCTTTGGATGTGCTGCTCTTCTCCACCTCAGTAGTCTCCACCACAATGCTGCCGCCACTCTCCACGTGCAGGGCAGCGGCGCCTAGGACTGCCCCAGGCCCGGCCACGACGGCACTGTGGTGATGCTGCTGTTGCTGCTGCTGGTGATGGTATTGGTGCTGCTGCTGGCGCCGCAGAGTCTCCTCGACGAGGGCTAGGGGACTACGGGTCGGCTTGGGAGAGCCGGGACTGGCGGCCAGCAGGCGCTCCGGCTCGACGGGGCCGAACATGGGCAGTGCCACGGAGTCGGAAAGACTGGAATCGGTGGTATCGATAAAGCTAACATCAAACTCGTTTATGCACCGCTGCTGCTCGGTCGTGGAGGGCGGCCGCACGGACATGATGGTGTGGTGTTCTACATCGAACTCGGGCTGCCGGTAGACCACCTCTAGGGGCCTGTCCGGGCCGAAGGTCTTAGTGAAAACCTCGCTGGTTAGCACCTTGCGACTGTTGCTGCCGCTACCGGAGGATGATGAGGTAGAACTTTTTGTACTATCGCTTGATTTAATGGATCGTATGGTTATCACCTCACAGTCGTCATCAACGAGCACGGTGCTAACAGCGGCGGTTGTCGCAGTCGGTTCCCTATGCACACGCACAGTCGATGTTGATGCCGAAGCCGAAGCCGATGCTGAGGATGATGTTGATGGTTCTCTTTTCTTCTCCGAAGACAGCTTTAGGTTGGCCATCTCCTTGTCGGTCTTACGGCTGACTGTCACCGAGCGCACACTGCGCCTAGTGCTATTCGATGAGCCGCTGGCACTGGTACTGCCACTGTTCGAGCTCGATTCATTCATGTTGTCCTTCATCTTCTTCTGCAGCTTCGGCTCAATGGAGCTCTGCACCGTTCTGGTGGCAGCCGTGCTGCTGCTGCTGCTGGCCGTACGCTTTACTGTCTTCTTAACTTCTATCTGAGGTTTCTTTGCGGTTTCATCACTTTTGGCAGTCAGCTTTGCTGCTGCAGTCCTTGTCATGGAAGACGACGCGCTAACTGGAACTTTGGTGCGCTGTATAGTGGCTGAGGCTGAGGCTGGCGGGGCCTTCTTCTTTTGAAGGCTGGCCACCGCATGTCTGTTGTCGGTTTCTATGGAAGTTCTTTGGGCAATGGTCTTGGTTACACTAGCTGATTGTGTCTTCATGCTTTTGGTTGCTTGGCTTTGGGAGCCTATCACGTGTATTAGCTTATTCTCCTTGGAGGTCTGTCTCTTGTACAGGCGTTCGGTGCTCTTCAGCGACTCCTTGCTGTCACCCCGCTTGGGCTGCACCTTCTCGCCAATGGACTTGTTCTGCTTCCGTTCCAAATATGTGGACTTTGTGAAGGCACTTGTCACACTGGTCTGGGTTCTGTAAGTACTCTTGGTCTGAGGCGGTGCCGGCGATTTCGGTGGTGCTGGGGACTTTGCTGGCACCGGAGAGACCCGCTGGCCCTCGGCATCGCCGCTCAATCCATATCGCATGTTGTGGGACAGAGTGGGCTGCATATATCTGTGTGTGGCAATGGGCGTTGGGGTTATCAGTCTCCTCGTCTCCACATGCTCCTGGCTGCCGATTTTGCTGGCAGTCTTTCCTGTAAGCTCTTTGCTGGCGCGAGTGGTAGTCGTCGTCTTAGTTTTCTTTGTAGCTGCAGCTGTTACTCTGGCTGTGGCTGTCTTCGTGGACTTGGATGTGGGGCTCAACGATCGAATTGAGGCGGTGTAGGGTATGCGTGTGACATCTGTCTTCACTCTTGGCCTGGGCGTGGATGAGCGACTGCCCTCGCCTTGCGGGTGGCTCTCGTAGAATATGGAACTGGATGCGGGACTCGCAGATCGCTCGAAGTGTAACTCGCTTATCACTCGGCTTGTGGCAGAGGCTGAGCTTGTAGTCGAAACGGAGCTCGTCACCGATCTTCTCGACTCACTTTTGGCTGCCACTTTCGGCACTTTCTCGGCGGCAGATGTCTTCCGGGTCACGGTTTGCTTTGCAATTGTTTTCTTTTGTTTGGGTTGCGTTGAGGAATGAGTTTTCATATCTGACTTTGGTTTCTCTTTATCCCCCACAGTCCTCCTGCTGATGGAACTTCTTGCTGTTGATTTTGCTGACGTTTCCCTTACTGTTCTCCCCTTTGCTGTCTCCACCTTGGCTACTACCTTTTTCTGCTGCGTTTTGACAAGTGTTTTCTTAGCGGCCCCTGCCACCTTCTGCTCATCATCTAGATTCACAAAATATGCAATAGGACGAACTTCTTTGGGTTCGGCCTCCTCAACTTTATTGGGAGACACCGTTTCCTCCCTAGGCGCTACTGAATCCACCTTCACACTCTTCAAAGTCTCTTCTACAATCTGCTCTACCGAACGCTCGTCCTCTGATTCGAATTGATCCATCACATGGCCCAAGTGACGATGTACCTGCGCACTCTTCAGTGTTTCGTTTACGATTTTTAATACCTCAGCATCACCTGCTCTCAAAGTGTCCTCCACAATCTGCTGAACGGATCTGTTTTCATCGGTGTATGACGAGACCATTGACTCATCATCTTTGGAAACTTTGCGCTCTTCAACAGATTTAAATGGAGATTCGTGTGAACTTTCAACAGAATGAGAGGGTACAGAAACTGATGGGGTAGCGGATGTGTCTTTCAAGTCAACTAGTTTCGGTTTATGTTCAGCTTTAAGTGGGGATTTATCTGCAGGCACACCAGAAGGAATTGCCTGGCTAGCGGGCTTTTCTTGGGGTCTGGGAACACCACATTCCTCATCACTTTTCTCGTCTGAATACACTATTGGACTTGGCTTAACTAAGTCAAGAGGAGACTTGGGTTTGCCCTCAGGTTTAGCTGGGACCTTTTCCTCTTTCAAGTGAAATGGTTTATCGTCTTTCAAATCAAATGGTTTATGTTTATCTTCAGGTTTAAGCGGAGATTTATCTGCAGCCACTACAGAAGGAACTGCCGAAGGAATTGGCTGGCTAGCAGGCTTTTCTTGAGGTCTGGGAACACCATATTCCTCATCACTTTCCTCGTCTGAATACACTATTGGACTTGGCTTAACTAAGTCAAGAGGAGACTTGGGTTTGTCCTCAGGTTTAGCTGGGACCTTGTCGTCTTTCAAGTCAAATGGTTTAGGTTTATCTTCAGGTTTAAGCGGAGATTTCTCTGCAACCACTACAGAAGGAACTGCCGAAGGAATTGGCTGGCTAGCGGGCTTTTCTTGGGGTCTGGGAACACCATATTCCTCATCACTTTCCTCGTCTGAATACACTATTGGACTTGGCTTAACTAAGTCAAGAGGAGACTTGGGTTTGCCCTCAGGTTTAGCTGGGACCTTGTCGTCTTTCAAGTCAAATGGTTTAG